CGCTAATTTCGTCCTGCTCGATTTTGCGCGTCACAATCGTATTTAGCTTGATGAATGATCCTCATTAATTGCAAGTTATTATGTTCGTCAACGAGAAAAGACTTATTGTATATCTCAAGAACAAATATATTTTATATCAACGCAACGACTGGTTGTGAGTATGAGAGCCGCAAAGCGAAATAGGTCTATGAAGGCAATCTGTCGCGTCGACTACGCAAACTTAACAAATTACTTCCAAAGACTTGTACGTACGCGCATATACTATGCCAATTTGCCTGCTGTTAAACATTTTCTCGTTAAATCACGATCGGAAAAAGCGACAGCTTTTCCAATATAGAAAGACTCGATTTTTTCATCTCTATTGAGAGTTTTGTTTTTTATTTACCTAACGTTGTTACCTGTGTAAAGTTGACACCCGTCCGTCATATAAGAGATACGAGCGGCTTCCTCTCATACCTTTTCTTATATCTTTTCATATGTGCGTGATGCGCACGAGAGCAGAAGGGTTATCCTCCCTCTCATCCCTATCATGATATTTTATCGATTACGGTCGCTCTCTTACGATATAACCGGTACTTTTTTCTCTCCGCTCTGGAGCCCCTTCTTATGTGAGGATGAACGGAGAAGAAAAGAAACTGCGCACACTTTCCTTGCTTGATCTTTCTCTCTCGTTCCTCATTTGCTCGGCCTCTTCTTTTCAATCTCTTCTGTTCCTTTCTGCTCCGAAACACTTAGGTCCATGGATTTCGTAATTATCATGAGCAAACAATACTTCAAGAAATTGTATCTTTGTTCTAGAATTGATACTCGTATATATTGCGAGTGCAAGTTATTATTATGCTCAATGTTATTAGCAGAAAAGATGATGTTTATGATACTCTTCATGAGATAGCTGATAGTTAATGAGAGACATTTTCCATCCGTCGATCACTAGATAAGAATATTATAGGTTTTTGGATTAATTGCGACAGTCTGCTCTTAGAAGAATAATTTACACTCGTAATAATGCTTTGTGCAGCAACGTGCCGTGCCGTATGGAAAAATAGCTCGCTATGACTTCAAATACGAAATCAATTATAAAACTCCACGTAAGGCCCTCTCTATTCAATGGCATTCCACTATGGTCGAATCAAGTTTGTTACGGATGAGGAACAATTCCAATTACTCTGAGTATTCATCCGATCAAAACTTCTCAGAATAAATTAACATTTTTTACTCTTTATAAAAAATAAAACGAGTAAATACGATTAAAAATAAAAAATCGCATGATAATGATTATATGCACATAATATTATCAATATATAATTTGTGTTAATAGTAATTAAGTATTAGATATTAATTTGTATACAAATCTTATACAACAAAGATCGATATTCAATTGATTTTTGTTTAGCATATAATTATAATTTCAGAAGTCTTTAATTTTTAATTTTTCATCAATTTATATTTAATTTTCACCAAAATCAAGACTTTAATTTCTGATTCACGAGAAACGCAATTGTAAATCATATTTTATTTGAACAATCTCTTAGTTTATTAAGATTTTTTTACAAAAACTATATACTAATTGAATATTAATTAATAAACAGAAATTTTTCAAAATAAAAGAGTTTAATTTAAATAAACTATATTTGTAATAAATCATTGTTTTTATAATTAATTTGTATTTAATTAATTAAATGATTATATATATGTATATATATATAGGTATTTCTTGAGAGAGATTTCTTTGTAATAAATTTATTTTTTATACATGTATACAAACTATATACATAGATAAAATCCTACTTGATTACTATTCTATTCATATATATAAATAAGAATTACAGTGTATTATCTCATAAAGAGAATGCATTAAGTATCCACCAATTTCAACTGCCTATATTAATTTATAAATACTAAAATGTCAAACAAATTTATGCAAGTAATCTTGTTGCTAAAATCGCTTGATGGCTTATCTATCATCATGAGATCAGGTAAAAGTGTGAATAATTCCTATAGAAGCATATATGTATACAGAAATTTAACAAAATCAATTTTTAAATTGAAAACTGCATAGCAGATTTACCACATTTTTTTCATATAAATATAATAAATAAATATCTGAGAAGGACAAAAACTTAGGTATGCAATACATTCGTACCACTTATGAACGCTGGCGCAAAATTATTTTTAACGAGTGTAAAGTTTCATACTAATTGAAAATATAGTTGTTTCATTAATTGTCTTTTTAGCACATAATGAGCAAAATTAACAAATTCCTATTTTAGTCAATCAAATAACTCACAAGATTGCAATTAGTTCAAATTTAGTTAGAATAATGTGAGAGCGTACATCGTGATATATCTTCTGTGATCGAGGAATGCACGAGTTATAGTAGAAATTACTTTTTACAGCGCGATCCTCTCGCGTGCGATAATCTCATTTATACAAACAGAAATGCCTAACAATAAACAAAACCATAATACTTTTGAGTGTTTTGAAACAGCGAAACAGTGCCTGGTATTTAACCAAACGCGAGGGTTGTCCTGGAGTATTAGTACTAATATACTTATGGAACAGAAATAACAGCTTTCTCTCCCTCTCCCCTTTCCCAGAGAAACTAAAATAAGCCAGGAAATGCAGGATTGTCTGCAACATATGTGGCTGGGTATACCTGACAGAGTGCTTTTCGCGTTGAAAATTTCTACAGGCGAATATACACAGTGCGAGATTAGTGGAGAACACGTATTTATTTGGCCACACACAACATCAAATTGTTTATTCCGTATAAATCTATAACCTTTGACCGCAACAATGGAAGTAAGTTTCGCGAGTTTGAAATTCAAGAAAGATATCAAAATATTGGTAAATTTTATTTCTTATACGTGTTGGAATCGTGCGAATAACTTTGTAATGTTACTACATCAGCATGAAGATACTTGTTAAGTGGATACACCTTTTAACATGCAATAATAATAAACGATCAAGTGCAGCTAATGCATAATTCGAAGAAGACATTTCATTAGAACCTATTACTTACATCAATGGAAAAGTTGATGAAGCAAATAAATGATAAAGTAATCAATAAAATAAATCAATAAGTAGATGAAACGAAAATTGCCATTTGTTTACAAATATTTGTTTACGTAAATGTATAAATAAATGAAATAAATAAAGCAGTAAATAAACGAAGCATAAAACTGATTCCTTATATTTTCACAAAATACAAAATGTGATTTTATTGGAAAACAATTGCAAGTGCAATGCTAAATCTCGCATCGTTCGCAAGTGTAAAGGTGAACGCACATAGAAGTAGAAGTAAGCAGCAAGCAGTAAACAGTAAGCAGTAAGACGTACGAAGTAGGCAATTAACATTGCCAGTATATCTATACATATGAAAGATGGAGGTCTTACCGTCTTACTGCTTACTGCTTACTGCTTACTTCTACTTCTATGTGCGTTCACCTTAACACTGGTGAAATTTTAAATTTTCTGACAAGTCACACGCGTATTCCATGTACAGACTCGAAAGAATGTATACATAGAATCAGAGGAATTAACATAACCCATTGTCCTACCGAGCTAGCCAGGAGGATGGCATCTGTATAAAAGCTCGTTACAATAATAATCCTTTTTAACTACCGCATGTGAAGTGCTGTTATAATCGTAAATTGAAAGCAAAGACACTATATGTATGTACACATATTTTCGTGACTCATGTAAATATTATTACATGTAATAATTCATGTTGTAACATAATTTAATTGGAGTTCCCGTGATGTTTAAGTCACTGTTAAATATTATAACAGGAAAGCATTGTCTGACAGCTTAACACAAAATAGATAGAGAAAATAAATAAAAGTAATATGAAATGCAGTTGCCAGATTTATATTATACATGTACAAAGAAGTGAAATAAAAGAAAGAGGAAAATAGGTATGCTATATAATCGTGGTAGATTTATAGGAACAGTAAAAGTTATTGCTACGATTAGGTCACAACATTATGCGCGCAAATACACAAAATAATTATTAAAAATAACATTATTCTAATTTGTTAGGAAATAAATAAAATAAGCAGTATATAATAAATAATAAGCTAACTAAAAGCGTTTGAATCATTTTAATAAATGTCAGTCATGGGACACATGTCGTCAATCTGCCCTTCGCGTCTCTCAGCACTCACGAGACCATCTCCTGTTTCTCAACATGTGCAAATTGTGCCGGTTGGAATAAACCTCTGCTGGCGAGCAGAGATGAAAACTTTTCTGAAACGGAATTTTCACACGTCTAATGATCAAACCATGTGAGAAAGTATGCATTCAAATTATGACGAGAATTTCATGAATTTTGCGAATGAAGGTGCAAACGCGGATGTAAGTATACATATATATTTACATATTAACATATGTACATATATGTATATGTATGTATATACCAGTTACAATATCAATATCAGTTCTTGATAATATTGCTATATCCTTATGTTATCTCGATTTGTGTCAAAGAGTGATCAAGCAAATTAGAAAAGAAGTCAAAAAGGTCGGATGTAAATTATATTAACTTAATTCTTCATTATTTCAAATAAACATTCTCTATACAACATAATTATTAATTACGTGTTATAGCTTTAACAGAAGCGGCGTGATAGAAAGCAAGCAAGAACCACCTCACTCTTTAATTAAAACTCCCTTTAAATGGTTTCGTAATTGGGTACTTCCGTGCGCTTCATAAAAACGGACTAAACGAAAATCGATTCCCAGCCTAAGAGAAAGAAAGATAGAGACAAGAGAGAATAAGAGAGAGAGAGAGAGAGAGAGAGAGAGAGAGGGGGGGGGGAGAGAATTGAGACTTGAATTGAAGAAAAAGAAACCACGACGAACGTTCAGTGTTCTTTATGTATGGTGATTGAAGAATGCATTCAAAAATTGAGGATGTAAAAAAACGGAATATAACCGATTTGATGCAATGAAAACAAGACGAAAATACAGAGACACAAAAATAGAATTTTTTGACTAACCACGCGCTCCTGACGTTCGTCATGCCCGATGAGGATGAGCCTTGAGACGTATGCAGAAATCAGAAAACTCCTTTTTGTGCACTGTTGAGAAAGGAGCCGAAGGAGCGATAACGCGCACCACCTCCACGGACGGGAGTCGGCCACTGACTGAACGTGACTCCGATTCTCTGTGGAACCGGGAGGAGGCTGCGTCGGCCGGTCATGGACCACAGGCCTGCGGCCTTCCGATACTGAGGTGCGGCAAATTTTGCTTTTGTTCCCTTATCTCACCACGCGTGGCTTCGTATCTTGTTAAATTTTTGAATGATAAATCCGCATGACATATTAAAATCTCTTTCCTCCAAATTAAATTAAAATATATAGTTATTGTTATTTTTGAAACCTCTATAAACCTATTAGATTTAGAATTTATAATAATCACGATTATATAATATAATTGTTTTTATGCCTACAGTCGTCATAGCAATCCTTATTATCATAAAGAAAAAAAATTTGCATAAAGTATACGAACGGTAATATGACTTTAATACATAAATATGCGTATGAATGAATTATATAACATTGGTTTCATGTCAGTGAAAAAGACAATGATAACTTCTATCTTTTTTTATTTTTTAATAATACGATTTAAGAAGAGCAAATAAGTCGTGTCGTTCGAATATGCACATGTATCATTTCTAGGATATAAAATTAGATGAAACAAAAATACAAAATAACGTGTTGAAATTAATATATCTAAATATCAAATTAATTGTATAAATTAACCTTTCTGCTGTACAAAAGATGTAAGAGTGTCAATTAATTTTTGTTAAACTAAATTTAATTGAAACGTTATTTTTAATTTCTTATTTTTGTACTGCTGACATAATACAAACAAAGAATAAAATAAAATGTATGTTACTTCCTCTTCAAGTTGTGTATTCCGATATTTTATACAACTTGAAGAGAAAATTATTTTTTATAAGATACGTAAAATATCTATCTTTTACATATTATTTTTATGCATGAGCATAATGAACGCTAACATAACATATTCAAACGACTTTTTAGATTCTAATATGAACCATTTAGTAACGCACATTTACAAGGAAAGATTGAGATTTTGCGACTTTTTAAAATTCATTTATCCGTTCATTCATTTATTTAAACGATGGACATCTTAATGAAGAGTGAGTTGAAGGAACAAGCGATTTGCGAGCAATCGATCAATGGCATGTAGAAACGACAAATGAATAATGTAAAACGCGTTTTACAACGACTTATTAATAGTAACGAGTGACATTACTTCTCGTAGCAAATACACATGAATATCACACTAGTAAAGCCAAATTGATTGAAGGCAAAATTTATATCAATGTTTCATGTCTGTACATAATATAATCGTTGAAACGAATTATTTTTTATTGCTGTGTTAAATACGCTTGCTTTTTTTCCATATATAGTATCATGTAATTATCGCCAAATAAGTTAGACTGCACTTTCAAAATAGGATGACGTTACCGCAGTTCGAACAATTTTAAAACGCGGCAGTAGAATGAAACTTTTATACAGTATAAGATCCAATAGACTTGCACATTTCACACTAAATTATTACAATAATTGCAAAAGTAACTGATTGAGAACAGAATATGTTGGCTATTCTGAATAAAAAGACTTCGAATTGCATGTTATTTAATGGAGATCATCTTTCAAATACTTTATCCATATGAGTTACAATATTAAAGTACACTATTTATCAAACAATTTTTATTAGATAATATACTATAAAATATATAACTATTTATACATACACATGTTATATAATTTTCTACTATTATTCTATTACATTATGTAAATACAATAATAGTAAAAATATGCTTTACCTCAACTGAATAGAAGCAATAAAAAAGATTGATTGTTTAATTAAAATAATTTAGGTACCACATTTATTTTATCGATCTAATAGAAATAAAAAAATGTGTTATTCATTATATATATAACTTACCTTGAAAGTCGATAGCACATAATGAACAGTTTTTCCGTTCTATCCACAGAATGCCAAGAGTTCTTATTTCAACACAACGCTAGTTCTGTTTCTTGTGACTGTAGAGCCTAAAGACCGTTCGACACGGAAGCCGGTCCTCACGAAAGAATGCGCGCGTACAACTCATGGGAGAAAACTAACCGAAAGAAGCGCGGAACTTCGAGAGAGAACCGATCCTCGATATGAGTTGCTTTCGGTTGGTGTGGGTGTGAAGAAGAGAGACTAACGAAGAATGATGATATAAAGGGGAGAGAAGAAGAAGGGAGAGAGAGAAAGAAGAAGAAGAAAAAAATGAAAATATGGAGGGGATGAGTAGAACTGGTAAAGATGACGGGGTGGTCGACTGGCGAGAATGGAATGGTTTAGAGAGAGAGAGAGAGAGAGAGAGAGAGAGAGAGAGAGAGAATGGTGGAGACTCATTCATACTCCAACGCCCCCGCAAATTACGAGCACTAACTCTGGCACTCGTCGTCTACATTCGAAAAGCTACCAATGCCGCTTGATTAACAAATTTATCGTTCTTCGTTCTTCTTTAAAAGCATCGCCAGTGAGGTGTGTAAAGGAATCTTGAGAAAAATCCCGGGGAAAAATGTCGGAAACTATATTTTCGCTTACTTTCTTTTTTTTTAATATATCAGGATTCGTAAAAATATTGAAATTCTTATATAAAAAGAAGAAAGTCTAGACAACCTACAAAACTTCTATATAAACTTTCATATAAATGAGATTTCATATAAAATTTTACCAGATTATCTAAATCTTCCCTTTTAAGAATTTTTAAATTAATATTTTCAATTAAACATATTGTTCTTAAAAGTGTCCTTAAAACTGTCAGAACTGCAATAATTTTTAATTTATAAGCAAATAAAATTTAAAAAATTTTTGAAGGATTAATTAATAAGAAGTATTATATATATATATATATGTATATATATATTTTTAGTAATTAAATTAAATTAAATTAAATTGTAAATTATATCAAATAATAGCCGCAGAATATATACATATATTTGCAGGAAATATATTTTACCTAAAATTAGTTTAATTATAACAATAACGTCTGAACATGTCATCTTGATAAAATAACTTTCTCTCACACTAAAGTAAATAAGAAACAACATTTTATTAACATTATTAATACCCATATTATATTTATGTCTAATTAAAATATTTAGTTTTTATTTTTAAGAAGACGCATTATACATTATTGACATACTGTAATTGTTACGGTAACTATACGTTAACCACAATATCGAAAAATGGAATGACCGAGGAAAATACCGCGATTGTCGTCTGTCGGACTATTACGCTATCCCACGCACGAGCGAGAGTCGGATTATTCGAACTCGTTTATCATCGTTATCGGTTGAAAATCGCATCTGCGATAGACGCTCATACATTAACGGCCTTTTGTTAATTAACGCATCTGGCCGTCGCATGAACAATGCGCGTCAAACTGCAGTGGCTATTGAATTTCGGCGAATCGGATAATCCGTTCTGCTCCGAATCCATTCGTCCGTCCGATACATGCCAGCCTGGGTAATCATGCGTTCACGTTTTATTAATCGGCATACCATTTTGTTAATTACGTGGCATTATGCAGCGGTGAAGTGCCGAGCGGAATGCCACACTACGTCCGTGGGATGATGTGTGATACGTTCGTTCAATACCACCTGTTATAACTCTTGAAATTACGAAATCCTAGACTATATGCAATCCAATGTTTGAAGCTTGCCACGTGTTCAACCGTACCTTCCGGGTACGACACAGCCATAATTTCAGCTTGTTGACGATGTAGCAACGAATTGTAAAGCCGCACGCATTGCACGTGATCATGAGCGTATATTCGAGCTGTAATGTCGATAGAAAATTTCATATTACGAGAGAATTTTTAAATAAAAAGTGTTATTGATTTGTGACGTTAAGTTATAATTTTAATGAGAGGGTTGTTAATAATTTTACAACTATTAAAACAAAAACTTATCGTCGTAACCACTCAATATTTATTCTCCAAAATCACTCTTCAATTCCATTCCTTTAATAGTTGTTTAGACATTAGTGTAGATGATGTACGTATATATGTAACACAGTTAGGGTATTTCGAACAAAGAATAATTTTGAAGAACGATATGTCATAAAGATATTGATTTTTAGACTATTGGATAACTGATACAGAACAAATATTTTTTGTCAGTGTGTTGTTAAAATGTAACGTTAAAAAAATTATAAATCTATTTTCTATGTAAACCTGTTTATGCCAATGGTAAAAAAAAATAATAAATAAAGTAAAATATAAGATGTGTCTCATCTCATTATTCAGTAATTATATAGACAAATTTGCAAGCGGAGATAAAACTTTACTTTTATCATTATTTTTAAAGCTATTTTTAGCTTTAAAAAAAGTCATAAACTTTCGAAACTTTTTAATTTCAAGAAATCTTAACATTTACTGTTGCGGCAGTTTTTGAAGACGAGACACGTGTTCTATGCTGTAAAAGAAAGGTGGGCGTCAAAGGAAACAGCCAGTGACCTCGAGAAGTGTCCATCATATTTAGGACACCCGATAAACGATAAGTATGCTCCAGGATGCAAGCTGATAGAAACTGTGCGCGTGCGATTCATCTTTATTGAATCACATATTATTCATTCATATTTTCCTTTTAATTTACTTATTCAGAAAGTTATCCACAGAATAAACGTGTTGTTGTATCATATAATGTAGATACAGAATGCAGGAAAAGGAGAGGAAGTATAACTGAAGGATTCAAATATATATATAAAAATATTTTACATATTCAAAGAATTGTATACAGATTTTTTTTACTATTAATATTATAGTATATTCACGCATGTATACCAAATTCAATAACGTTATACTGAAAAACGGTGCTTTCTTTTAAGTATTAAATTAAACTATTTTCAATTTTCTCAAATATTTTCAATTGTTTTGTACAGCTTACTTCAGCATCTTCACTCGGAAATGGGTTCTTATTCGATAGGAATGCGTAGGAGACATTTATCTCAACTATCATTCTATCTACTTTTGACAAAGCTGATTAAGCATTTTTAGCAGTGTGATGTGTTGAAATAATTAGGTCATTAGATAAGATTTTATATTTTTGTAACAGCAATCGCAGTGATTTCGCGGCACAGGATGATATGAACGGAAAAACGGATGAACAGCGTCGATTAAAAAAAATCAGTTGGCGCTGATATAAGTTACCAAACGATGACAGAACTTGCGAAGTGGTTACGTTACTGCGATAATATTACTGAGTATCCGGTGTATGTGATGTGACATCGCATACAATTTTATGAACTAGCTGCATATGCTGAGGCGTGAAAAACAACACAATAAGAATGGCATATTCTTATATCATAGAAGAAGTACCTCCCGACGACATTCTCAGCGTGAAGCACGATATCCGTCGCGCGAAACTATTTCTTCAGAAACACAGCACGAAATCGGGTGACAGTTTGTACGCGCATCACTGAATTTTCTGCGATAAAAACTATACAATTGTATTTCCCTTGGAAACGTACTTTTATCGTCAATATTTTTCACATATTTATTGTATATGTTCTTTAGGGAATAAAATTTAATGGTGCGAGAAAGTTTAGCTTGTGTGTGGTAGAAACAATTGTATTGCATTAATTCTGAAATGAAATATGAATTCTAATATTATGTAGTAATATATTTTTAAACGTTATAGAAGTCGAAATATATTAAATAAAAATAAAGGAAAACTATTATAGGAGAGTAAACGATGTTGAGTAAATAAATGATTATTAATTTACTGACAATCATTTTTATTAGATATGACCATTTAATCGAGCTTTTGGCAAAAATATTGGCTGAACGGCCACCAAACGTTGTTGATATTTTTGAAGAATACAGTAGAAAATTGAAAGAGGAGAGATTTAAAATTAAGACGGATTATCTTCGAGATTTATACATACCACTCGTGCAATACGACGATGCCAAGAAGCTCATTAAGCTTTTTCAGGTATGATTCAACAAGTAACAGATAACGAAATCACAATATATTCCAAGTTTTCTTCAGATAAATAACGTACAAACAAGGTAAACTATAATTTTTGTTTTATCTTACCTTTCAATCTTCATGCAATCGCGGTAGGATGTAAAACAGATTAACAAAGACGAACAGGAGAGAATAGAGGATGAAGAGCAAAATGATAACAAAAAGAAACTTCCCAACCTGTTGGATCTTTTATTTTACTTTGAGCAGACGGGTGTAGGATTGCCGCGATATGAAATAGTGTCGCTTAATTTATCGATTCGGAAATTTGCCTCAACAATGCCGCTTGAAAATATTAGGTATTCGAGACTTGTATAACTTGCTATGTAAAACACACACACACACACACACACACACACACATGCATGCACGCACGCACGCACGCACGCACGCACGCACGCACGCACACATTGTATATTCCAAAACTGTATTATACTCTTGTATGTTTATTTAATAATTGTATCTTTTTCTTATTAATTGGTATCTTAGATTTTGGGGTAAAATACTTGGAAAACCTAAAAATTATTATATATTGGAAGCTGAACTTCAAGCAGATGAACTTGCTCGAAGATTAGAGGTAAGATATTAGTATTAAAATACAATTAAATTTTGACATAATTTTTGTTTTGCACAGCGCAAAAGACATTGCATATATATATATATATATATATATCGATTCAATCTGTTCTCTAAGTAAACATATGATATTATATAAAATATTTGATATTATGAATGACTTTGAGGAAATTGATTACGCTATATACTATACATCTATTCATTAATTCTCATCGTATGTATTCTTTATCATATCATATACCCTACCATACAAGATCGAAAACATAAATTAAAGAAAGTACTTGTAGTATTGTATATTAAAACCCTGCTATATGAGCTTTTCTTGAATAAGTAAGTATATAATGTAATTATTACAAATTGTACGAAATTTTCTAATATTGTAATATCATAATTTTTTTTTAAGTAGCAAGAAAAACATGAAGTACAATCTAAAAGAGAAAAGGAGAAAGTCGAAGTTAAAACAGCAACAAAACTCACGGAGGAAGAAACAAAAACTCAGAAGAAAGACATGGAGAGAATTGTCAAAACAACGAGAAGTTCACGTAAGGATAAAAAATCAGAAGGGAAGCCTTTGGAACTTATCTTTCCATCGTTACCTGTTAATCCGTGGACACCATTGCCGAAAATACCGATCGAGAGAATCGGAAGCGGCCTCAATAAAAAAGTGTGCATATAGAAATTCTCAATTAACGGAATATCAAAGATACTTAAATTAATACCTACTTGGCCAGCGTCACGTCGTACATTTCATTTATATATGTATAATCTCTCGCTACCTCGTGATAAGCTAAACTGTATTTAGGTGTATTTTGTATGCAACACGCCTGGAGTGGACGAGTGGATCGAACTTCCAACGGTTACACCACAGCAGATAGTAATTGCACGACAGATTGTTCGATACTGTACGGGAAACTTGGAAACACCGGTACGTGATGCCTTTTAATGAAGGAGACTCCAGGTTAGAGCGACGTTATTTGTGAATATAAATACATCCATATGACGCATCTATAATGTTAATTCACATACTTTACGTTGTTCATAATATCTAGTGATATGCGTGACGATAGCAGAGTTTCGGCATACAATATGTAATAATAATAAATGAATAGGAGTGGGAGAAAGAATACGCTAGAGCGTAAATTTTTATACTATTACATCTATACTGTAAGAAATTTCTGTTGTAAACTTCCAAAAATGTTAGAAGTTTTTATCCAACAAAAATGTGCTGTAAATTTAAACAGTTATTGTGAAGTTACAATAATATTTTGTGATAAAATATATGCAAATCGCTGCGCATGCACGGCGCATCAGTTTTGTAAATTCACAACAAATTTCTATTACAAATTTACAAATATTGTGAAATCATAGTAAAACCTTATATAGTTTGTAAATTTACTGCACATTTTTATTGTAAGGCTATTATAAATTCACTAATATTTCTAACAGTGTGTGTGTATGATATATACAATAATTATGTGGAATAATAGTTTCTTGGCAATCAGATTAAAGGAAAGCAAAGTTATTAACTTCAAACAACAAACAAATTTTTAACTATAATAAAAACACTTTAATTAATCATTCCCTGCAGTCCATCGGCTTATTCCTTTAATTTATTATATTGTTTTCTTGTTCCGAGGCAGATTCACAGTTTTCCACCATTTTCTGGTACCGAACAAAATTATCTTCGCGCACAAATTGCAAGGATCAGTGCTACTACTCACGTTTCGCCGATTGGCTTTTTCACATTCAGTGGAGAAGACGAGAATGAAGAGACAGAAGAAGAAAGAAAAAAAAGTAATGTATAACAAACTTCTAATTCTTATAATAGATTATTATAGATTATATATATTATATATATTATAGATTATAGAGATAATAGATTATTATCTCAGCGATTTTAGTTAGTTGTCATTATAGTCATAAAAAATTACAACATCATTATCAAATTGTTATTATAAAAAATAACGGAAAAAGTAACGGAATAGTAATTCTTCCATTCCCTGCATTTACATATAGTCTATACAGAAGACGAATTATTAGAAAACATGAATTATGATCCACTGCCGACGAAGGATCTTGTAGATCCCTCCATGTCAAATTGGTGTCATCATAGTCCATATATTCTTAAGCAAGGACGTACTGTCTGGTGGAATCCTAAGGAGGAAAATATTGTCGACGTTAGTTGATTAGATTAAATATTTTAGTTCTCACTGTAAAATTATCTTTTGTGATTACTTGCGGAAGTACTTCCTCAAGTTGTTTGTGATAAGAAGCTTTAATTATATAGAAAGTATTTGAAGAAGAAGAAGAAGAGGAGGAAGAAGAAGAAGACATAAGAACAGATGAAGTAAAGATGATGGAGAAAGAGATCGGACCACCCCTCTTAATTCCTTTATCTGAAGATGCTATTATTGACTCCGTGATACCATGGACTGTTAGACAGTCGTCATATATACAATCAGATGTTGCAATAGCTTTAATTAGGTCGAATATCTGGCCTGGAGCGTTCGCATTCGCGGTAGGAAGGTAAAGTTATACACTAATTTTTTTCGGTATTAATACTCTCTTATTCAGATTACTTTAAAGGCCAACTATTAGTACATTTACAAAATATAATGTTATATAAATTTTCGCAGTAAAAAAAGTAGTATATTTTGTCATAACACATCATCAAATTTAATTTAATTTAACAAAACGATTTGAAATTTATTTCATATCTCTCATACGTAACTTATCGTCCATTATTAAATAACCATTTCACTCTGCCACGAACGTTTGCGGCTTATGATAACTCTTATGATAAAAAATTATGTCGAACTACCAATTACATTACAAAGAAATTATGCGTAAGAAATTATTACCACTAAAGTGATTTTAATGGTGTCATTTCACAGACGTTTTGCTACTATGTACATCGGCTGGGGTCAAAAATACAATTCGTATAATTATAGTCCTTCTCATGTGCCACTTGTTCAAGATCAGTACAAAATTGGACCAGAAATTATGGAAATTTGTGATCCTACTGTCAAAGAAGAAGAAGCATATCAATTAATGCGTTTGCCACCAACATTACCAATAGGTAAAAAAAAATATGTAAAAAAATATATGGCTTAATTTTTAAAATAATTTAAAAATAAGAAATCAAATACATATTCTTGAGGCTTCCACGGGTGTTTCCTATGTGACAATCTTGCGTTTGTCAAATCAAATATATGTATTATGATAATTAAAATATACATATGTATACGCATTAATTTTTTATTATAGTTTTGCTAAAATAGTTTTTTTTTTGTAGACGAAGACGAAATATTAGAAGAAGAAGAGACGGAGGAAGAAGAAGAAGAAGAAGAAGAAGAAGAAGTAAATAATGACAAGGAAGATGGTGAATAATTTTCTTGGGATGTTATCACACATGATATATTATATCTCTAAATTTTCGCATTATATGTTACACTAATTTTTTTCTAAATAGTGCACTAGGAGGATGATATTTGATATGGTCCTGTATGTACCAATAATGGCAATAATGTAGTTTTACCATCAAAGCATTTTTGAAACTTGAATATATATATGTATATATATTATTAAGTGTGTAATATTTCCCCAAGAAAATAATAAAATATAAATTTAATATTACTACAATAAAGATTAAATAATTCGAAGAAATATATAAAATCGCGCATGTATTCGATATGTTATCTTGGAAAGATATCTTCTTTATCGAATACTCACGTTGCTACCGCATTGAGAGTAAACTATTTTATACGTTGATGACGCCACGTGTTCCGCAGTTTCACCGACGCGAGATACGATTAAAAATACGTGATCGGCTCTTATGGAAGTGAAGGACTATGGCAGAGAACGAGACGTAACGAGACGTAAGTTCCATAGTCGTAACGTAAGGTAAGGCAGAGAAAAACGTAGCTGTCGTAGTCGTGACTGGTCTGGAATGGTCGGTAAAGTGTGTCAGAGCGACGAGGTGAGTAATATTAATGCACGTTTATACGTCTTAATAGTTAATAAGGAAATATATACACACTAAAACAAAATAAAAATAGATTTATTTTTAAAGATATAATGATATTTGTTTCCACCTCCTGAAATAATCATAATAGTACGTAATTATTATTTTAGAGGTTAACCAATATTTTTCGAAGTATGTATGTACATTGTTAATTACTAACAAAAAATGTCCTTAACACATTTTTAATCTATTTTTATTTTGTTTTAGTGTGTATATATTTCCTTATTAACTATTAAGACGTATAAACGTGCATTAATATTACTCACCTCGTCGCTCTGACACACTTTACCGACCATTCCAGACCAGTCACGACTACGACAGCTACGTTTTTCTCTGCCTTACCTTACGTTACGACTACGGAACTTACGTCTCGTTACGTCTCGTTCTCTGCCATAGCCCTAATTCACACTACTGTCAAAATTTAAGTGATTAATGCCTGGTTTATGCTTCGGTCGTAACCCTAAAATCCTAAAATTCAGCCAATGGAATACAGATTTCAGTTAGGACCAATTAGGACTGGCAGTCCTATTGGCTGAATTTTAGGATTTTAGGAATACGACCGAAGCATAAACCAAGCATATGAATAAGAAACTGATAATACAGTACTCATTTCATGATTTATTAATTTCGTAGGCATGTATGTATATTTAAAACTTAATATCTGATTTTTATTTAAAATTGTGATTTTAATGTTATCATCTGAGTTTGATTATCAGTAATTTATAGAGCTATGATAACTGCAGAGAAAAAATTGTAAATTTTCGGCAATACATAAAGATATTATAGTATTAGAAGTATGCGTACTTATTTATGCAGCATTTCTACAATAAAAAAAATTATGAATTTAATAACGTACGTTATTAAATTCATGATTTTTTTATTTGCGATTATATACAATATTAACATAAATATATCGATAATGTTCGATATATTTATGTTAATTGTATATATATAATCGCAAATTTTTATTAATTGTCGATAATGTCATCGTTCTTCAATTATCCTCGGGCCCACAGAGCTCCATTGATATAGTCATGAAAATTTGCTCAGAACCGACCGTGGACCCGGTGGACCGTCTTGAATAGTATCTTGTCAATGGCAGCTTGTATGTACATATTCTAACCATTTTAACCTCTTACATAGTGTTGTCTTGTCAATTATTATATGAGCAGAAACTTTATTGTAAGATAAAATGACTAAAGAAGCTATTGAAATTAATTGTACACTGCGACCAATAAATTGCGAAATTAATTTGTTATCAAAATCTGATGGTTCTACAATGTTTATGCAAGGTATATAATAAACATCATGAATAATATTTTGTTAATACAATATTCTAATTCTTCTCCTATGCATATAGGTGATACCACAATTATCGCCGGTGTAAATGGGCCTTTGGAAGCAAGAAGCCAAAAAATGGCATATGACAGAGTTTCTATTGAAGTTACATACACACCTCTTAAAGGACCAGCGAGTAAGTTTGCCAAAATTGAAATAGTCATGAACTGTTATGTTTCAGCATTGTTTTAGATCTAAAGCTGATTCTACAATGAGTCGGTAGTCGGTAGTCCTAAGTCTTATCGGTGAATCAGTGAAGTTAGCCAACAGCCAATTTGTACGACTAAGACTACCGATTTTCTTGAGATTGATCAAATTTGACTTTATTCCTTCCCATTAGTCGAATTAAATGACTCGCTGTACAACTAACAATTAGTAGATGCGAAAAATCATAGTCACTTATTTAGGTTAAAACTGGTTAAGACTTAAGATTTCCGACTATCGACTCATTGTAAAATCAGCTTAATAATTGTCTATCAATTATTTTAGAAGTGGATGACAGATTAATTGAAACATATATAAAAGAGACATGTGAATCGGCTATATTAGTTTCATTTCATCCCAATACCATGGTATGCATTAACCTACAAGAGATGCAAGATTCTGGTGGGGTAAGAGTTCTCTCTCTGTGTCATATATTAATAATAAATCTTGTAAATAAAAATTGAATTCTAAGCAAATAAATTAAATTTCAGTTACTAGCTTGTGCTATTAATGCGTCGTGTTTGGCACTAATTAATTCAGGACTTTCCATGAGATTTACCGTTGCAGCTATTAGTTGCATGATAGAAAAAGAAACAGGGGAAATAATCATGGATCCTGACAGCTCACAATTAAAAGTATTTAAATAATAAGAAATGATGAGTTATGTATTTTTCCTCAAGAAATCTTTTATTCTTATAATTAACTTATTTACAGAATGCAAGAGCAGAATTTACATATACATTTGACAGTATTAACAAAGATATTGTATGCTGTCATAGCATCGGCCAATTTTCTCAAAACGAATTCTTGGCTTGTATGGATAAGTGCAGACAAGTTAGTAAATATGTGTTTGATTATTATAGGGAAGTAACAAAAAAGTATACAAATGTAATATAACATTATAATATTTTGTTTTCAAATAAATGTTCTTTTTTTCCATCTTCAGAATCAATAAAATCTTAAACATATGCATATTACGTTGCTAAAAATAATTATTTTATTAGCCATGGATACATTTTTATTCTTAAGACACTGTCAGCTCGAAGATATAAATTAGGAGATATTATCAACTATTGATATAAATTTTTCAATTGCGAACATTTATTCAAATGCATAGCTTGAAACACAAATTGTATATTTGGAAGTATCAATTTCTAATGGGATATTAAGTTTGTTGAAATATCTACATGTATGTCTACATTAACGTATCATATATTATTGGATGGAGTAAAATATAATATAATATATCCCTATCAACTATAAATAAGGATGTACTATCGTTTTACTCAATACTTTAATGCCTAAATTTTATATTATGTTTAATTATATAAAAAAAAAAATACATTTAAGTTTAAAAATACATTTTTTATTTATTATACCGCTCGTAATTAAAGAGGGAAATACATATTTCTTCTCTTAGCTTCTATCGATCATGAACTTGTGTTTCAGTTTCTAGATGTTTCCGAAAGAGGATGCAATATACTTCCTGATTCCTAAAGCTTCAAATTTTATCAAATGTTTCGAGCGACAACGAAATGAATGTGTATTTCAGAATAAAATATTATATTTTTAAAAGCTTATGCTAATAGAATCTATTATGGATGATTTTATTAAGAAAATTATACACTGTGCGTGTATATAACTCTTGATGAAAGTACTAACAAACAAACAAACACAACAACAATTAAAGCAATAAATTTAGAAAAAAATGGTATATGTTACAAACAGAAATTAAATAATATTTAATTAACGTTTATTATAAACTGATTAATATTAAACTGCATATACATATATATAACTATAATAAATTACTTTTTCTTCTAGAGGAGAATCTATATTTTTTACTATGCATATAACATTTTTAGTGTATTTATTTTGATAATTATCATTTTTTATGATCATTGAAATATATTGCCAATGATATTTATTTATAAGAACAAATATATAATTGACACAAAACAACTTAATTTAGCTGTTAAGAGATATAGAGCAACATATAATAGCCAATAGAATAATATAAATAGCCAGAAGCTACTCCCCCTCTCACCTTTCTCTATCTCTCTCCCCTCCCTCTCTTTTTTCTTCGTTTCATATAATATTAAAAAGAAACATTTAGTTTTATGTATAAATAGTCGTAAACTTTAACATTATGTTCGATTTCGATCACTTGTTTCGCGTGTATTTTATTGTCAAGAAGCTCGCGCAGTCTCGAAAGTGAATACTCTGGAAATGCAACTTGTATTCAGCGTACGTTCGATTCTGATGCATTTAAAGAGGAGCGGATATCTGTCGGTAGAGCCACGCCTGGTCGCCAATCACAGGCTGTACCTACCATCGACGTGTATCCTTTGTGTCCTCCGGACCCTTTTAGTCCTTTCTGGCTCTCAAGAATCCAAAGATTTAGTATGGAGGGGGAACATCTTTGGACGTCCATTAAGTACAGAAATGAGCCTTCCAAGAGAAAGAGAGAATAAGCGCCCCGAACGGGTCGGACCAGATCTTCTCCGGCCGGGCCCAAGACCAAGAGAGGTCTGAAGCGAAGTGAGATGGGAGAAAGTGAGAAAGGACGGGAGAGTGAAGGAGAAAGACAACAGTCAAAGCCGGGTCAGACCGGGCCGCGTTTAACTGAGGTCGCCTCGGGCCCTCAGACCATTAACAAGGAGCGGAGCAATTTATGGACCGGCTCGCTCATTTCCACTTTATTATTATTTTCTCATCTCATAGATGGTCTTCAGTGTCGTTTTGTTCTGCCCCCTCTGCTGCTCGTCCAGCAGCTTCTCTTCTTTCCCGCCTTTCTCCTCTCGTTTCTCTCTTTCTCTCGTGAAATTAATACTCACAGCTGAACTGGGAGAGCCACCGACAAGTCGCGGCGACTTGGCGATGAGCTCAGAGAGGGTAGATATACCTTTGGATGAGCAAAAAATTGTGAAACGCGAAATATTATTATGCGCCGCACTATCTTTTCCTACCTCTCAATCTTTTATATTGATAATAATTTCGACTTCTTGCTCATTCGCTCGATATTGTACCCGGATTTAGTACATGCGCGTCGTTCTAGTTGTACATATACGTACATTACACAATGCGGTATTAAAGCTACCCGTATCGCTAGTATAGCTTACGAATATGGCAAAGCACAGTACTATTTCGCAAATGAATCAAACCGTTATGTAAAATAAGCATTCAAATCGTGTAAAATAATTATTTGATAGCAATAGTTACGTAATTAGGTTCAAATTAAAAAAGTAAGTTCTAGAAGAAGATTTAGAACAATGCTAACAAACAAAATATGAAAACAATAAAATTAGACTATGAAAATCTATCTGACGTCATTCCGCGTCAGCATTTGCGAAATACGTTTTGCGATTTGGGAATTATGTAGATAGAAGCATCTTGAGATTCATCGCGTGCGACGCAACGAAGCGATTTTTATCTTCTTAAAAACTATGTATATGTTTCACATCTGAATATACCAACTACGTTTAATCTTCTTAAAGTCATAATTTAACATCATTCACACTTTTGTTTTACATTTATAAACGATATTCCAATTGCAAAGATTGTGTGAAAGCAATAATGTTACTTGATTGATTTTAAGATCTCTTCCTGTTAAAAAAAAAGCATAAAAAACTTGATAAAAAATTTAATAAGAAGCGAATATTTTTGTACTTAAAAATGTTCATTAAAAATGTACAAAAGCTTATTTTCGAAAAACATTTTTGCTGTTAATACTCTCCTTCCAATGTCAGTAATTAATATATTCTACAATATCGATATCTTTCCTTTCATGTAACACTTATCTCTACGTTTCGCCTGATACATATACCTAAGTTATTAGCGTAATGCGATATTGCCGTATGTTAGTCGGGCCGATAAATCGTCAGTACGCGAGATAATTTTAAACGGTCACGACTTGTCAAGCGCGATGACAACACACACGGTGACCTAGTGGCCCCCGTTCCCCGTATAGAAGGCTCTCGCAGCAACCTTCGCCACGCTACTCTCCTATTTTCAGTTAAAATTCTGTTAAAAGCCACGGATGAATATCCTCTCTATTTTACGATCCGCCTATATGTAGAATTCGAACATGTATCTCAGTGCAAAATAGCCATCTTTCACTACCTCCGCTTGAGAAGGTGGGTCCAGTCCAGACTCCTTTGGTTTCATTTCTCTCCTTCCGTCTGAGGGCCGCTCATCGTTCTGGCCCTCTAAGCTGGTGCTCGCCCATTGGCGCAAGGGTAGTTGTTATGAAATTAGCATGAACGATCAAGTTAAGGTTGCAAAGGTAATCGCTTCGAGGGCACTACGCGAAGGATTGGACACGCCAGTGTAGACCTGGGCCCTTTGCCCAATGCCGCCGATAGTAAGAGGCCCTCTGCTGTCTTTGCCACATCCGATTGGCTCGAGACGATTTACGACCGTTTTGCCTCGAATGTCTCCGGTCGAATGTCTACGGCAGTCTATGCGATGAAGGAGATCGTGGTTCTTGCAATTAAGAATCGCGATGTCTTAATGAACGTTGAAACATTTAGCAGTTCGTATTAATGACCGTATCATAATTTTGATTCCTCTGAATTTATCTCGATTTATTTTTTAATCGATCATATCATTTATACTGAAGATATTGATAATTATATTCATATTAAAAATAATTATTAAAAAATGTTATAACATTTAATAAGTCAATTAAGGGGAAATAATAATCTTTTAAAAATTTCCTACTTTCAACTCAAGGACTACATTATAGATGTGCAATTAGAACAGGAGAGATCAAAGAATTCGCGTAATGCTAAAACCATTTGAAATTAAAATAGGCTGACAATATCTAAAAGTGATGAGAAAACAAACAATGAGCACGATGCCAAGTCGAAGGCAAAAGTCACTTGACGCACAACATGACTGGAAGCGACAGCCGCCGTGTGTAGGACAGGAATCGTATGTCGAGGAACTGACACTAGAGGGATCGTGCACCTCATCTCTATCGGTCAAGGGCTCAGATGCAGACTTCTCGTGTTGGGAATGATGAATCCTTGTCACTCGTCTCATTCACTAAATTTATCACGGTACTCTAAATATTGACGTGCTATTTTTGCCTATGTTTTGCCGTTTGATCGTATGAATACATTTTATTAGCGAATTATTAATAACGATCTCGTTATTAACCATTTATTCTTTGCATGTGTTACAAGAGGAAATCTTATTAGAAATTTAACGAAATAAAACATTCAAAATGTCAACCGTCTTGTGTTGGATAAAAATTACATGTCAATGCGTGCCATGTATGACTTGGGATGGGAACAAGGGCTTTCGTTAACGAGGGCTTCAGGCAAGTTTTGAACGAATAAGGAAGCATAAGTAATTGAATAACATTACCTATAAATTATGTTTGTGCAAGAATGAGTGTAATTGGTCGGCGGTGTCAATAAAGGTGTCGGAAAAGTTAAGAACGATTGTAATAAACGGAAGGGCAATGAACCAAGATCCCGCGTGAACACCAAGTATCCCGTGGTGTAACGTTGTCCGATTGGATCGCCGAGTAAGATTGATAGTTTCTTAATAACCGAGAAAAACCGGCAAAACGATCCGTTCATTGCGTGACACCGCGGGTGGTCAGAAATGAGCATTACACCTGAACGACATGACTTTTCTTCATGATCCATTCCGCTATTCTTGCGCCCTCCCTCAAAGTTCACTGAATTTTTTTCACATCCACAATGTTGAAAGTTAAATAAATTTCTAGGATGCATCGATGAAATGCGACATGCGATTGATTTTCGTTCGACTCCATTATGTCTAATTTATGTCGGCAAATTGCACAAATAAAGATATTAATCGTTTTATTTAATTTTGTTCGATAACCATAAATCACTCGCGAATGGTGCAATTACGGCTCTCGT